TGCTCATCCAGAACTTAGTACTGCCCTATCAATAGGTAGGGTCTCGCCAAAGTGCTTTGCACTTTAAGGGCTCATCAGTCCAGAGACCTATAGCGAAACATGCTGTTGGGAAATTATTGCTTCTGTCTTCGGTGTTACGTTCCTACTACATGCAATGTGCTGTGGCTTTAATGCTAAGTAGCCATGTGCCCTACTGAGGATAGTTGTGGAAAAGGTTAGAACCAAACAGCAATCGAAGTTCAGTTGCAGTTACAAAAAAGAGCCAGTTCTGATCCACAGCACTTACCAGCGTTTTGTTTTGTACGAACTCTTGCAGATACGGCTCACTATTTTAAATAGTCTTAGCTGGAGCTAAGCTAGACTAATCGCAAATAATTTGCATGGGCAGTTTTTACAGTGATACCCGTGGCCTTCAACTTACAGCTAGAGGAGGTTCACACTCATGTCACTAGATCAAGAGGACCAAGGAATCAAAAAAGATACACTTTGCTGCGGCTGCAGAAACGCAACAAATAAAGCTGCTTTAGAGTGCAAAATGTGGTAGAATTGTGGTTTCTGTATCTACTGGATTTATAGGATGGTGAAGTGAACGATCGTAAAGCTTTCGTGGCTACGTTTCAAAAAGAACTAGGGTAAAACTCAGCCCACGCGGAATAGATGCATACACAGCGGGCACAAGCTACCATCAAGATAAGCAGCTGGAGAACAAGATCTTGTGGTACACATATACACAGAATGACTGTTAAATGACTGGTCAGACGGTGCCACGCACTACTGGGGGCCTTAAAGCTTCCCAGAAGAAGCCAAGATTTTGTGGGGAGATAAAAGTAAGACTGGAGAAAAACTTACACAGTTTACAACATATTCTGCATAGAATATGGAGTGTCAAATGGCTGCTGAGTTGCAACAAAGTGCAAAGGCGAAGGCTAAAGCGAGTGCTGGAGGAAAACGGAAAACTCAGAGTGCATCTTGAAAAGGTTGGCGAAGGAAACGAACATCGTGAAGGGTTGAAACTCGAAGTTCAGGATATCGAGATGTACCTGTGATACAGTTCAACGCTTTAAAGGATCTAAGGGCTGTGGAAGTGCTGTGGAAGTAGCGAAACGTATGCAGAAGGGCAACCGGAAAACAGCTCCGCAGCCAGAATTCCCCATATTAGAGCACTTCTTCTCGAGACGTGGGCGGAGCAACACTTGTGCCATACCCCGCGCCAAAGATCTGGCATACTTCCCGAACTTCTCCCTTGTGACTCATCCGCAAACGCTATTTTAATGAGAACAGACGCATTTTCTTAGTCCCGTTTACACATATGTCTTTTGCTTGAAGAGCAGAGCTCTTGTTGCGAGCGCTGGCAGTTGCGCATAAACTATGGATGCCATCTATGCACAAATTTTCTACAAATGGTCTCAAGAATGCCTTGGGTGTGCTTTGCATTACCAGCGCTGTAGCCGTGTGTGCTGTTTTGTGTAGATGCGCGTAGTCGATTGCTACAGCAGCCCCGTGTAAGAAGACACCTAAGCTGAACTATTGGGGAAAGACATTACAGATCTACGCATAGAAACGGTCGGGAACAATGTTGCCAGTGTTGTATATCGGTGAAGAGTCCGGCGTTCTCCGAAGTGGGCCAAACCCACTATTAACCTATACAGCGGCAAACACGTTCTTTCAAGCATCCTTTCAAAGTAAAAACATGTGCCATATCTAGCTCATGAACTGTTTAAGTATAAGTGTAGCCAGTGTCACTTCTGCACATCGAGCTACCACTGGGAGCAGAACTGATTGCAGCCCAATATTGCTGTCCTACTTCAGGGGCCACGATCCTGGGGACTGCAAAGTGTTACCACTATTCCCGGGTATCTGTGGAGAAATAAAGTGCCTCGAGGACGTTAATGACAAAAAAGAATTGCCGTTTGTTACTTATTAGTGATGCCTGCCAAGCCGGCCTTCGCAAGGCGCTGTCGTGGATTTTGACACACGCTCGTGCGACGTGCATACTGCTGCAGTGCCAATCTGTGCCTATTCCCTTTTGTACCGCCGGAGTTATATTCCCTTCACTTTTAGCATCATAGTAGCTGCGTGCTTTAGAATCTTCCCGCTTTGTTTGTGCAAGCACATGACGACGTCACGGCCTTCGAGCGCGATCTCGTGACGGCAGGGACGATTCTCTATTTGTCATACACCCCTCAGTTTTGATTTGGAAGAAATATGAGAAATTTAAGGTGAAGTCGGCATAATGCCTTTTGTGGGAATATGGCTCGGGCAGCTTTTCCACTGGTCATTTTCTCGCCTTCTGGTGGACATCATGTAGATTTTTCGCCTTCCCATTTTCACTGGACAACAGGTGACCACGTGGACAATGAAGTGGTTAAGCACACTCGGCCCTGGATCTGCAGATCCTCGCAGTGCAAATGGCCCATCTTTTTCTCCGTGCTGGCTGTGGTGGCTATCACTCTTGGTTATTGGCGCATATGCTACGGGTCGACAGGCCGCAAAAATGGACAAAGACGATTGGCAAGTAAATCACCTGGGGTGGGCGACCCCGAGCTGTCAGCTATACTTGACTGGTGCAGAGGAGAGAGGCATGCTTCACCCAGCTGCACATATCCAACCTCAGACAGTGCAGCCGCCACACCAAATGCCTCATTCCACTCCCCAATACCAGCAACTACTGCAAGCAGGAACGATGAGCACGTTTCCAAGTGGAGGTCAGGGTTCTCCAGCTGTTTTACCACCACAATACACATCGCCACCACAGGCAGTGCAGCCGCCTCATCCAGAGCTTCCTCCCAGCTATCACTATCGGCATCTGCTGCGGACAGACCAGAGAACTATGCCTGCAAGTGGGGAGGATGCGTTCCGTGCCTATTCAGGGGAAAGGCAGCTGATGTCATCTACGGCACTGCCACCACAGGCACAGCAGCCGCCTTATCGAGAGCCTCATTCTAGCTCATATTATCAGGATTCGCTGCGGGCTGGCCACACAAGCGCGTTTTCAAGTGGAGGGGGGATTATGCGTGCCATTTTAGAAGGAAGACTGCCGCCACCTACAGCACAGCCACAGGCACAGCAGCCGTACCATGGAAATGCTGGTTCCAGCTCCCACTATCAGCACCAGCTGCATGCAGGCCAAACAAGCACGGTTACAAATGAAAGAGAGGGTTCTCAACAACTTCCAGATGGGAAGCAGCTGTTATCCCCTACAGCGCTGCCACCACAGGCACAGCGGCCGCCTCAGGAAGACCCTCACTCCACTTCCCACTACCAGCAACCGCAGCAAGCAGGCACGACAAGCACGCGTCCAAATGGAGGCGAGGCTTCGCTTTCCGCTTTAGAAGGACAGCCGTTGCCACCTGCAGCATTGCCACCACAGGAACGGGAGCCTCCTACCGGAGAGCCTCAATCCAGTTCCCACTACCAGAAACTGCAGCAAGCAGGCACGGCAGGCACGTTTGCAGGTGGGAGTGACGCTCTAAATTCTTCTTCGGAAGTAAGAGGCCAGCTACAATCACCTAAAGCACTCCCACCACAGGCACAGCAGCCGCAGCCGCCTCATGGAAAGTCTTATTCCAGTTCCCATTACCAAACACTGCTGCAAACGGGCACGACAGACACATTTTCAAGTGGAGGGGAGGGTTCTTCAGCTGGAGAGGGGAGGCAGCCGTTACCAGCTACAGCATTGCCAGCACAGGCACTGCAGCCGTCTCATTCCACTGACCCCTATCAGAAATTGCAGCAAGCAGGCGCGACAACCACGTTTCCATGGGGGAATGCTTCGCATCCCTCTGTAGAAGGAAGGCACCGGTTGCCCTATACAGCATTTCCACAACAGGCGCAACAGCCGCCTCATGGAGAGCCTCATTCCAGCTCCCACTATCAGCATCAGCTGCGGGCAGACCAAATAGGCACGTATCCAAGTGGAGGGGAGACTTCTCATCTTTCCGGATTCCCACGCCCTAGTCAACACCACCCATGGCTTAACGCAGAAAGGGAGCAGCGCCAAGTGATGTGGCCTGCCGTTTCTTTGGAGGCAAGAGACCCTTCGTCACATGGGCCGGCGCCTCCGCAAGCATTGGGCCCTTCCATTGTGCCTCCTCTGAGAGGCAACTTACGTACTGCAGAGGGAGGAGTGTCCAACCCCACTGCAGTTTCTTGGGCAAGCGACGTGCGCTCAGTTCAGGGACTGAATGAGCATGGTCCGTACCCAGGTAATTCTGCAAGTTTTCCCCCTCGCGTAGCCCAGTCTGGTGAAGGCGCGGACCAGTTGTTTGAAGATGGCTTCTTGCAGGCCCAGCAGCCTGGTGTATTCCCTGGAGCTCAACTGAGCTCAGATCAAATGCATTCTTCGCAGCTTTCTTCGGGTTCAAATCAGAAGAGGCCTTTGGAAGAGCTTGACGCCGGCAGTTCACACGATATGTCCGTCTCCCCAAAGAGGCAGAAAACGCAAATATATCTGGCGATAGAGCTTGTGAACGACAAATTCGCGTCTGGCGATACTGCTGAGCCTCAAGCTACAACCACGTCAGAAAATCCGGGAACTTCAGACATCAGCTATTCGATGCAGCTGTCTAGCAACATTTCTGCATCTCAGGTCCAAACGGATGCTGCACAAGCAGATGATGCGGAGATCACCAGTTCATCTTCTGAACCACCCACTGGGCAAGCATGCCCCTCTTACAGCGAGGCTTTCATTGCGCATCCATTTTACAGACTGCCAAAACTGTCTCCTGAAATTAAAGTAAGGCAATTTTCCGCGGAGAAAGCCTTTTCACGCGGCAATTTGATTTCTCAAGCTTCAGCAGTTTTAGGATGGATTCGTTCACTTTTGGTCAAAGAAGAGCTATCGGAAAGAGACGTAAACGAACTTATTGCCGCCACAGAGCGTGCTGTGTGTCATTTATTTTATTTTCACCAGTCACCTATTATAAAGCTTGGCGCCGCTCAAGCTGCCATGGTTTTGGCGCGCCGGTATCTTATGTTAGATGCTGTTGTCAGTGTCATGCAAGTTGTAGGGCCGGCGATGGTTGCACATCAGTGGTGGCCTGAGCTTGCCGCTGCGCTACCAACAACACTGTATTTCGGATATACCCATTCACCATACAGGAGAACGAAAGCTCTCGAGGAACTTGCGACGAGGCTAAGTACGGCAGTAGAACTGCTAAAGAAGTGCATTCGACCCTCGCCGCAGGAGACTGTTGAACTGAAGCGAGAGCTTTTTTGTAGGAAATCGTCTCCTCAGTGCTTCATGGGGCTTCAGTGGGAAGCTTGGCGATTGGATGACGGAATTTGAGGTGGTGCACTGAAGTAATTTTGCGACTGGGCAGCCTTTACGAAATAGTGGATCGAAGGCCTGCGTGCTTCACTTCGACTTTTAGTGACCCAGTAAGTGAAGCTAACGACAATGGTCGAAACGCTCGTGAAACTCTTTGTTGTTCCATTAGGTGAGAGGACTGGATCAATGAGAAAGCGAAAAAACCTACACCATGTAACGTGTACTCCCTAAGTGTCGGCTTCTTGCAGCTGAAAGTGAATACAGTAGGGCCGCCTTTTAAATGACCTTTTTGGCGTTTATCACACAGAAATTGGCGACTTTTTTGAGTCTCAGCTTGGGTAGGCTCAGCTTGGGCTCTTATGTTGTAGTCTCATGGGCACTTTTTTCATGGTCTCTTCACGGAAGAGTTTTTGAAGTATGCAGCCATTCAGGGAAGCTGCTCACCTGTAATTTATTGTGAACAGTTTCCATGCGTTTGGCGCTCTCATGGCTTTTGGCTTCTTTGGCTGCTGATCGTTAAGTGCTCTAAGGGACCTCGTGGCTCATCCCGCCTCCTCCCGTGAGCTGCCCAGCCTTAGCTGGCAGAGAATTGTACTCGTGCAGCCACTCTTCAAAGCAAAGCTCCCACGAGCGCCTGCTGCGCCCTTTGCAATGCGTTTATTCTATTGTTGCTCAGCGGATACAATTTCATCGTGACCTCCTTTGAGGTATGGTAAGTTCGCTGACTAGTCTTATCATGGAGTGGTGGCTCTTTTTGATTATGCACAATGTGAAAGTTCATTGATTTGTTCTATGCTCTTATGGACAGAAGACTTACGGACACTAGCTCTGAAGAATTAAACCAGTACTGCTGCGCGGCACAGGCGCTGCAGTGGAGGAGATCCCTCCTAGCCATGTCAATGCCACTGAAGACATGCATACTTTGTCTGCTAAAGCGGACCTGCTTCCTAATTTCGAACGCATTGATTTATGAAGTGTTCGCGTTTCGAGGGAAACGCAGTGACACGGTTTAGTTCCAGTGTAGCCACAGAAGAATCGTCACGCTGCTGCTGTGTCTGACGCCTTGGTTCATCTGATAATGCATTTGCAAAAGATTGTTAAACCGTTTAGCACAGAGTGCACCGCACCCATGGCTATTATTTCGCCAATTGGACAAAACTTAGTAGCCCTTCAATGTCTTAGAACTGCAGGCAAGAACAGGGAACGAAGCTTGGGAGAAGAGAGCAACAACAGGAAACAAAATCATTATGTGGGCGCTTATCGCCAGCGGCGAAGACATGTCAGCAGAGAATCGCAGTCGCTTGCATAGGCTACGGCGGCGAGCTTGGGATTTCTCTGTGAGACATCAGAGCTTCCCGCTGCTGCTGCCTGTTAAGTCGCTGCGCTTGAGGTCCTAACTCCCGTGTGAATGCCAGCTTCGCTTTGCCCGATTGCCTACCGTCTCCACAGCTCAGCGCACGCTGGGCGAGGCCCCTTGCAGCAAAGAAAATAAAATGCAGCTCTAGGACACAGCAGCCTGCGTGGAATAAGCAGAATTGTATTTTCGTCCTGGCCGCATACGCACCGTCCCCGGGGATTGCGGTCACGGCTGTTGCTGCTGCCGTGACTGGCTGTGGCCGCTGATTCCCTGGTGGCTGCTGCTTTGTTTTCTCGCATGCTGAACTCCTCCGCTTTTGGTCCCTTGGCAGCAACGCCTGGATTCCGCCGGCCTAGATGGGCCCGGCCTAGATGAAAGCAGGTCCGGAAGGGCTCAGGAGCTTCCGGAGCTGCTTAGTGGGGCTGGGCTTTTCGTGCTGCTGCTGTTGCAGCCGTACTTCCTGCTGGTCCATATCCCTTCGCTGTTGCTCGAGCTGTTGCTGCTACTGCTTTCACTCCTGCCCGCCAGACATGGTAGAGCCACGGAGACAACGCTCGGTGCTGCTCTCACGTTGCTTGTTCCACACCTGTGCTTGCACTGCCGTGAGAACAATTGGGTCTGCTGCTCTGTGGCCGCTTTGTCGTAGCCCCAGGTCTACCGTAACGTGTGTAACGTGTATTGCAGTTGGTCAAGTTTCGCAGGCGCCGACAAGACTCGGTAAATGCAACATACCGGACTAGGGAACGGTGGGCTTCTCTTAGCGTGCCTGGCAACACTGGATTCGGGCAGCACAGCGCAGAGTCCGTTGGGCGTTTGCACCCACTCTCTACTTTCCGCTGCAGGAAATACAGTGAAAGGGAACGGCACCCAAGCTGCTCTCGCTGCCTAGGAAGAACAGCATGCAGCGACTTACTGGTATAAGGCAAGTGTACCTCTTGAGCGCAGCGAGGCAATTCAAGCTGAACGGCCTTGGAGGGAAGGAACTGCTGAATCACTGCGTCAAAATTGTGTAAGAGGCCTAGATAAGGCAGCAACAACAGCAGCAGTGGTGTGTGCGCCGCAACAGCAGTGACAACAACGTCAACGGCTGACACAGTAGCAGCAGCATCATTGTCAGTAGCTGCAATGCCAGCAGCAGCAGCAGCAACGATAGGGAGGGTATTCTGTGAAGAAACGCCTAGTCTGTGCTTTGCTGCGTCCATGAAAAAAGGCTCAGCTAGCGCCGTGTTGCAGGTCGGGAGCAGTAACGATTAGGGCGAGGCTACACACTCACAGCAGCGAGAGCATTGGAGGCCCGAAAATGCACAACACCTGGTGAAACAGAAGCGAGTGGCAAAGGATTCATATGGCGTTTGCACAGTTTAGTGCCTGGGTACAGCTGGCACACCTTCACGCAGCGGAGTAACATTGAGTGCCGAGGGCATGCGCAGCAGCTTCTCGGGCAACTCTCATTCGCCTTCTGGGTTGTTGCCCTTCCAGCGTTTGCCTTTGTTTGTGTCTTTTACGCTGCTGCTCATCGGGATAAGTTGTCTGCTTAAGTACCACGGCCAGCAGCTGCTGGCTCATACGCATGGCAGGCTCTGCGGTGCAGCTTCACTGCAAAGCCTACTGGTCGCCATTTCGCCTACAGTTTCAAGGCCTGCATTAGCACGTGCACTTAAGATGCCGGCCGACAGCAGCAGGAATTGGAGCAGTGCCAGTCTAGTGTGGCAGCAAAACGGACACGCGAGCAACACTGCGTGCCTGTTCACATGTGCACATGGGAATTAAGTAGAGTCAAAATTACCAGAGAGAGCGGAGGCATGTTGAAGGCACATAAGGCAACTGTAAAATGCGTGAAAAACGTATTAGTTGGGCTAGTTTGGCTCAAGACGAAACTGTTGTACAATATTGGCTGTAATTTTAAGTAGCCCAGGAGTCACAGTGACGCAAAGATAATTACAGCCAGCCGTGCTGGGTCAGTAGGACAAGAGAGACACACTCATAAGAATGAACCTGAAGAAGCTACGGCTAAACTCTGTTGAAGGAGCTTAAGATTCAGTTCTTCAGCTCTACTGTGTGCGGCGTCTATGCAGTACTTGGCAGATACAATGATGAAGACCAAGGCATAGCCGGGTCTTGCAGGCTCCTGCAAGTCCTTTCTGAGGCACTTCATTTGGAGTGAAGAAAAACAAAAATGTGGGAAGGCGCGCACTTGACGCCTGTTGCATGCTTTGAAGGCACAAAACGACCAAACAAAAGAACGTCTCGGCGGCAGAACCTCGCCCCTACTGAGGCAATTGATCCTTTTGCATACGTCTAAATAAGTTTAAATGAATTAATTGGCCATTATTTTCGGTTAACGCGACGAGCTGAAAAGCTCTAACGAACTCGCCGCACAGGCACCGCCTGTTGCTCATCCCTTCGAATGTCTTTCACGGCAGCTTAGACATGCCAAGTTCCACGGATCAAGGCTTTAGCCAAGCGTCAACAGCAGCAGAGCTTGTCATATTCGTCATTTTCACCTTCTGAAATAATTCTAACACAAGTAACAGAGAAGACTTAGTGATTTCCGTGCAGTCGTCGGCACGCCTCCACGCCTGTTCTGCCTTCCCGCGGCCTAAACAATAATGTATAAATAGTATTTTTGAAAGTTTTGAAACTTAAAGAACAAGTACTCGTAGAGGCAAGCTTAGCCGGCGAATCGCTTTTCCGAGCACCCTTCGGTGCTCGAAAAAACGATCACACGCGCGCTATGGCTGCTATTCCTGCTTGAAGCAGAATGAAGCCGCCAGCTAGGGATACATCGACTTTCCTTTTGTTTCTAATTCACGTAATATATCGAATGGGAAATGAGGTAAATGGGGGACAAAAGCGTGCAGACACACACGCAGACAACGGGCACGCCGCAGCCCCACACAGTGCACGCCAGCGAGTGCAACGGTCCCAACAGCTGCCTTTGCCTCTTTTTCCCCACGGGAGACTTTGCAGCAGCAGCAACAGCATTAATAGCAGTTTGTGAAGTGCTTTTTGAGCAGCCTGCATGCATGCATGCACACGATCCAGCTGTTCTCCCGACTTGCCTTCGCCCGAGCACGATCTCCCCGTGCAGAACTGGCATTCTGTTGCTCCCGCATGCCCCAATGAGCCCTTGACGCCAATTGTGGCAAAAGAAACCTTTTAAATCCTTTGAAGGGGCCTCACACTTTGAGAATTTTCACAAAGGGGCCAGTGCCCCAGCTGGAGGGCAGGGATCGCTTCTGGGCTGGAGGAGATCTGCCTTGGACCCTGTTCACGGCTCCAGCTGCAGCAACTGCTGGTGCTGCTGCTGCCTGCTGCTTGCTGCAGCTGTAGCAGCTGCAAGGCGCTGCGCTTCTGCGTGTCTTGTCCTCTTTCTGTCACCGTATACGGCGTTTGGCGGTACGCTGCTGCTGTTGTTGCTGCTGCTGTTGCCGCTGCTGTTGTTGCTGCTGCTGCCGCTGTTGCAGTTCAGCAAGACCGTAGCCTTAGCAGCAGCAGCAAAGAACTGCAGCAGCAGCAGCAAGGAACTGCAGCAGCAGCAGCAGCAGCAGCACGCATTGACGTTTAAGATGCTGCTTACGGGGACTCCAGCGCAACAGAAGCCTCGGCCTTTGAGAGGACCTCCGTGATCTTTGGAATTCATAGCAGGCAGCATCTGCTGCAGCTTTTCGGCGGGCTCTGCAGCAGAAGCAGCAGCAGCACCTCCACCAGCAACTGCCGCAGCAGCTGATGGAGTAGCAGCCGCAGTGTATATGGACTGGCGTTCCCCTTAATACCCATGGAGCTACGTTCCAGAGTCCCCTGCAGCGGCAACAGCAGCAGCAAACTTCTCGCTGCTGCTGCTGCTGCTGCAGCCACAACTGCAGTAGCAGCGGCAGCACGATTCCTGGAGCATCGACTCTAATAGAGATGCAGCTGGAGGGACTCTCCACAAGAAATGCAGCCAGTGCGGTCTCCCAGCCTGCTTCTAGTACTGCAGCAGCGCCAGCAGCAGCAGCAGCAGCTGCTGCTGCTGCTGCAGCATGCAGCGCTGCTCTGACACTGTCACATCATGCTGCTCCTGCTGAGCCACCCCAGCAGTTGCTGCAGCAAACTGTCTCTCCGACGCAAGTACTCTGCAGCAGCTCTGCCGCAGCAGCACCTGCAGCTGGGGAGCAAGTGGCCTGGGTGCAGGTAGGCGCGACGCAGCAGCAGCAGCAGCAGCAGCAGCAGCAGCAGCCGGCAGTGCAGACTCATGTGCTGATACACACCTTTGCTTCTGGTGAAGCAGATCTTGCTGCTGTGCTGCGGCGAATCGTGGCCTCCTCTGGTGGTGGAATAGTTCTGAACACGCTGCAGCAGCAGCCGGCTCAGCAGCAGCAGCAGCAGCAGCAGCAGCAGGCGACCCTGGTGATTGATCCTCAAGCAGGATTGCTTCAGCAGCCAGCAGCTGCCCCACCCTCAGCCCTCGCTGCTGCGCCCGTCACAGTCTATCCCAGCATCGTTCCCCAGCAGCAGCAGCAGCAGCAGCCGCAGCAGCAGCCGCAGCAGCAGCAGCCACAGCATCTACAACAGACGCCAGCAGTTATGACGCCATACGTTCCTTTACAGCTTCGGCACATGCACACAATTGCTGATCCCTTTCAGCTGCAGCGGCAGCAGCAGCAGCAGCAGCAGCAATTGGTAATGCTGCATCAGCAAGCACCGGTCCGTATGCACACAAGTCCTGCAATTTTGTCAGATCCCAGCGGAGTCCCGGTGCTGCAGCCAGTGGCTGCGACAACAACAGCAGCAGCAGCAGCAGCAGCTGCTGCTGCTGCTGCTGCTGCTGCAGCTTCTGGTGTCGCGGCTGCCCTACCCACGACTGAGCTGCAAGCCCCTGAGCCCCAGACGCCTACGAAGCAGCAGCTTACGCTGCTGGCGCTGCAGCCTCCTGTGCATCCGCAGCTGCCAGTGCAGCAGCAGGTGCAGCAGCAGCAAGTTGCTGCCCCAGTGAGGTATCTCCCTACAGCCACACAGCAGCAAGCAGCCACTTATGTCCCCTGGCAGCAGCAGCAACAGCAGCAAGAACGTGCGTCGAGGACGCGCAGCGAGTGCCTCTTGTATCGGCCGACGCTTAGGAACAACAGCGCTGGCCCCGGAACGGCCGCAACAGCAGCAGAAGCAGCAGCAGAGGCAGCAGCAACAGCAGCAGCAGCAGCAGCAGAAGCAGTAAGGCTGCGGCGGCAATCCTGGCCATTCTCTGCGGTGGCTGCAGCCCCACACTATTCTCCGCCGCCTTCTGTGTGGCAGCAGGGCAACGCTGTGCCGGTAGTGGGCGCCCTGCAGCAGCCGCTGCTGCTGCCGCAGCCAGCTGTTGCAGCAGCATCGCCAGCAGCTACAGCAGCAGACGAAGGGGCTGCTGCTGCTGCTGCCTACACAGAGCCCACCCCAGCAACAACTCAGTCCACCGCAGCTTTTGGGGTTTCTTTGTCTCCCACAGTTTCGCAGCAGCAGCCAGCACGCCGCGCCCAAAGCGCCTCGAGTGTACGTACACTACAAGCTGCTGCTCCTTTTTCAAGTGTGTCTCCGCAGCAGCAGCAACAAAGCCTGCAGCGGTTCTTCTCATTGCCATCAACGCCGCTGCTGCAGGGGCCACAGGGCGCTGCAGCAGCAGCTCCCGTGTCTCCTCTTAGTGAGCATGCTGCTGCATCGGCTGCCTTTGCTGTGAGTGCCTCACCTCCTTCCGCTGCCGCACCTTTGGCTGCTCCTGCTGCTGCTGCTGCTGCACCTGCTGCTGCTGCACCTGCTGCTCCTGCGTGGCCAGACACACGGCCCCTTGCAGCTGCGCCGTGGGGACAAACAGCGAGACGCACTCTTTCCGAGCCGCCCTCTGCAGCCCAAGCAGCAGCAGCAGCACAAGCAGCAGCAGCAACGGCAGCAGCAAATTCCGCCTTTGCGGACGGCAGCGGAGCCCTGCCAAGCTTGCCAAGGCGTGCCAGCAGCAGCAGATATTTACAACCTTCGGCTGACGCTGCAAGTGCTTGGAGTCCAGCAGCAGCTGCTGCTTTGCCTGCTGTTGCTGCCGCGCCTGCTGCTGCTGATCCGCAGCAGTTATGTCCTCGGCGCAACAGCTATCCCGTCTCCCCGGCTCTTTCAGCAACGCGCCAGCACGCTGCAGCAGCTGCTGAGGGAGCGCTTCGGGCTGCAGCAGCAGCAGCAAGGGCCCGCACTGCTGCTGCTGTTGCTGCAAAGGCAGACAGTCTGGCTGCAGCATCAGCTCTTAGAAGTCCTGCTGTTTCCTGCTACAGCAATACCCCACCAAACCGCCGCTTTTCCCCTTCTGCTGCGTCTGCCTCTCCCGCTGCGCCACTGCAGCTGCCACCTTTGCAGCCCTCATATATGTCACCGCAGCAGCAGCTCCAGCAGCAACCGCTGCAGCAGCAGGAGATGGTACTGCCGCAGCACCAGCAGCTGCAGCAGGTCTCGCCAGCAGCCCCTCTCGGCCTCAGCTTGCAAACACTGGAGCCAACGCTGCCGCAACTGGAGTCAAATGCTTACGGCGATCTAGGATCTTCACAAGGCCTTAGCAGCAGCATACTGCAGCAGCAGCAGCAGCAGCAGCAGCAGCAGCAGCAGAATAGCCTTACTTCCCCTGGGCTGCGCGCACTGTCACCGGTTTCTGCTGTGCCTGCAACCCTGCCCTATACAGAGGCCAGTGCCTCGGGCAGCGGGGTCTTGCTACAGCAGCAACCTCAATCTCCAGTGCAGCACCTTCCGCAGCCGCAGCTGCAACAGCAGCAGGAACAACAACAGTTGCTGCCGCAGCTGCCGCAGCTGCCGCAGCTGCCGCAGCTGCCGCAACAGTTGCCACCTTTGCAGTCCTTCAGTTCGCTGCAAAGAGAAGAAACGCCTGCGACGTCCTTAAGCAGCCACTTGCCGCAGCCTGCCCTCTACTCTCCTGCGGTGCAGCAGATCCCCGTTGAGCAGCAGCAGCAGCAGCAGGGCAGCTACTCTGCCAAATCTGCGCTCAGTGGCGCCTTGCAATCTCCGAACTTGGCTGGAGCGTCCCCAGTAGGTACAGAGGGGGTGACTTTGCCGCGGCTGCAGCAGCAGCTTCCGCTGCAGCAGCTGCAAGTAGATGCAGCAGAGCCCTACTCGAGCTCCCATCAGGGCAGCCTTATCACATTTGCGGCAGAGACTCCCCCTGCTCTAGGCCTGACCCAGCAGCAGGAGCAGCAGCAGCAGCAGCAGGAGGAGCAGCAGCAGCTGCAGCGGCGGCAGAGCAGTGGAGTGCCGCTGCGCCTCCCTAGCATGTCTCCATCCAGAGCTGCTGCAGAACGCGCAGCGCTTGCTGCTGCCAGGGCAACAGCAGCTGCTCAAAATGCCACGGCTGCATGTGCGCGGCTGCAGCTGCTGCAGAAGCAGCAGGCTGTGCCAAAAGGGATAGCAGCAGCAGCGGAAGCAGCAGCCATTGCTGCAGAGACAGGCGCATCTACAGCACAGCTGGCAGCCGAGAGAGCAGCACTTGCAGCAGCAGCAGAAAGCATCGTATCTCCTGTGGGATCATCGTTGCTGCGCAGCAGCTCTCTTCCAGCGGAACTGACTCCATCGCGGCTGCAGGTGCAGCAGCAACAGCAGCAGCAGAAGCAGCCGCAATCCGCGCTCGTAAGGGCCAATACGGGAGGCAGACCCCTGGCAAGTCCACGGCTATTGTCCCCGATTGCACTTCAGCAGCAGTTGCCTCCTCTCTCGCCCCGCAGCACCCGCAGCTCTGAGCCCCTCAGGCAAGGACTCCTCAGCCGAAGTCCAGCACCTCGAGTCCAGCGACCTCAGCAGCAGCTGCAGCAACAGCAGCAGCTGCAGCAGCCGCTACGGCTGCAGCAACAGCAGCAGCTGCAGCAACAGCAGCAGTTGCGGCAGCAGCAGAAGCTGCAGCAACCGCAGCAGCTGCAGCAACAGCAGCAGCTGCAGCAGTTGCAGCAGCAGCAACGGCAGCAAAAGCGTCCAAATGCGCAGCAGCGAATGCAGCCGGCGCAGCAATTGCAGCAGCGGCGCACGCCTGCGCAACTGCGCGAGCAGCAGCTGCTGAGTGAGCAGCGGCAGCTGCGGCAGCAACGCCTTGAGCTGGAAAGAGAGCTTGCTGCAGAGCTGCAGAAGCAGCGCAGCGCCTCAGCCCTGCCTGGGCCTCTTTCCCGCAGCAGTTCGTTGGGGCAGCCGCAGCTTCCTGCTGCACCGCAGCAAGTACATCTGCCAAGTCCTGCATTGGCCTACTCCCGGATGGTCAGCAGCCCCACACCCCGCAGCAGCGGCACTCTCACCCGGTCCAGCAGTCTGCTGCTGCAGCAGAAGCAGCAGCAGCAACGGCAGCTGCAGCATCAGCAGCCAGGGCGCAGCACTTTGAGTAGCTGGTACTCCTCACCGGTCCACACACCTCTGGAAGGCATAAGGACTGGCAGCAGGACCCCAGCGTCTAGAGCAGCAACGCCGGCAGCAGTGAGAGCCGCTGCAACCCCAACATCAGCAATACTACCAGCAGCAGCAGCAGCAGCAGCAGCGGAATCGATCTCACCTGCTGCAGGCAGCTCCATGCCGCTTTATGCGCGCATATATTCTCCCGCCAGCAGCCCTTCAAGAATTGGGGGCCTCAAGACGCCCGCGTATTCCCCAATAGATGCAATATCCCCATTCAACATAAGGCAGAATCAGCTGCCGCCGCTCAAGGAGCAGCAGTACCGCATGCAGCAGCAGCAGCAGTGCCACCGCTACGCCTTCAGCTCCCTGCCCTCCAGCGAGTCACTTTACCCCGGATTTTCCCTTTCAGCGCCCACGCCGCAGTCCGCGCCTGCTGCTCTCTTCCACAGCAACAGTGGAGGCCTGCAGCGCTTTCCTACCGGCGGGTCCCAGCAGCAGCAGCAGCAGCAGCAAGGCTTCCAGGGACCCGACATTGTTTGGGATCGGCCAGGACAAGACCTCCTGTCTCCTCAAACATCTCACGGGACCCCTACGCTGCCTGCGCAGACTGTAGACACCCCTCGTAAGCGGAAGCGCACATTGCAGGCAGCCCCCTAGCCCTGTTGCCCGTGGTGCAGGGCGTGCTGCTGCTGCTGCTGCTGCTGCTGTATCGCTGCAGCAGCCATTGCTGCGGCTTTGCTGGGAAAGCTAGTTTTTGTTCCCGTAGCCATTAGCTGTGGACTGCAATTTCTGCTTCTGTTCTTGCAGGCCTAGGCGATGTGCTGAGTCCAAGATGCACTTCACCGAGAAGCGTCACGCCCCAGCAGCAGCAGCAGCAGCAGCAGCAGCAGCCAGTGCAGTCATCCGCTTCAGTAAGGGGCGCATCTCCTGTTGGGACACAAACGAGACTATCCTCAGCGTATAGTCCTGCAATGCAACAGCGAAATAATGCAGCAGCAGCAGCAGCAGCAACGGCACCAGTTGCTGTTAATCCAGAGGCAGGTGCCGCATCCGCCCAAGGCGAGGGTCTTGTTGATGGAGCTGCTACCGCCACTTCCGCCTTGAGGCACGCTGAACGCGCGGCAGCAGCAGCAGCAGACGCAGCACAGAGAGCTGCTGCTGCTGCAGACGCCGCTGGGCAATCCCCTGCAGCAAATGCTGCGCGCTTTAGAGCCGCACGGGCTGCAGCAGCAGCACAGGCCGCTCTTATTGCTGCTCAAAAACGAGCTGCTAGTATCAGCCCAGCCCTCCCGAGGCTTCCTTCAAATCCAAGCCCCTACCCTCAGGCGCCGCTACTGCCACAGAAGCAGCAGTGGCAGCAGCAGGACAGCAGTAGCGCAGCACTCCAGGGACCCTCGTTTGGCGAGTGGCCGCAGCAGCAAAGGGGCAGCAGCTCTCCGCAAGCAGTGGACCCGGCAGCAAGGCAGCAAGCAACGCCTGGCGCTGCAGTATTCAGTGCCGTAGCTGATGTTTCAGGCACTGCTTCAGACCCTGCTGCAGCAGCTGCTGCTGTTGCTCCAACTAGAGGGCTGAGAGAAGCAGCGCAGCCCCCTGCTACCACAGAGCCCTTGCACCGTCACCCTGACGAAGCCTCGCAGCTACTGCAGCAGCAGCTCATTCAACAACAGCAGCAGCAGCAGCAGCAGAAGCATCAGGGCACCAACACAGAGCCACCCACCCCACTAACCGTTTCTGCATTTGCTCATCCCGCTAAAAACAGCGGAGAAGGCAACCGCAGGCAGCAAAGTGAAACGCCCCGTATCCCAGCCAGTGCTGCAGTAGGCAATGCTGCAGCAGCAACCCATGCAGCAGCAGCAAGTTACGCGGCAGCAGCTGCTGTGCCGAACGCGGACCCTGTCTTGCCCGTGCTTCGCCACTCACTCTCTGATGTTTCTGCTGCTGCTGCCGCTACTGCTCCTGCTCAGACAGGTCAGGGTACTCAGCAAGGACAGCAAAAGCTGCAGCCGCAGCAGCAGCAGCAGCAAGAGCTACAGTTAGAACAACAGGAGCAGCCACAATACAACGCGGCTCCAAAGTCTACTTTATCGTCCAGCAGCGGCAGCGTCATGCGGCCAAACGGGCAACACGACTGGTTAAACGCGCTAGTGCTGCAGCATCAAAAGCGGCTGCAGCGGCAAGGGCAGCAGCTGCAGCAGCAGCAAGAGGAGCTCCAGAAGGTGCGGCAGGAAATGGAGAGGGAGCAGCAACAGCGGGCATTGCAGCTGGCGCTGCATCACAAGCAGAAGGAAGCTGCAAGGAGGGCAGCTCAAGCCATCGAGAAGGAGATCCTTGAAAGGGAGGCCGAGAGGCAGAGGCAGATAGCTGCTGTCGCTGCTGAAGCGCTCAAACATTCTGAGTACGAAACGGCAGCAGTGGCCGAAGAAGCAAATGCTGCTGCTGCTGTTGCTGCTGGTGCTTCTGGTGGCGTTGCTGCTGCCGGTGGAGGCCCGGGTGCCGCATGGCCCTTTCTAACGGAACGGCAAAAAAACGGGGTTGCCGCTGCTGCTGGAGAAGCAGCTGCTGCTGAACCTAGAGCAGCAGCAGCAGCCAGCAGCAGCGGCAGCGCTAACAGCAGCAGCAGTGCTGCGCGCTTCAGTGTTGAGGCACAGTTCGGCAAGACCCCTAGACAAGACCCTAGCTACCAAGCGTACGGGCAGCAATTGCAGAAGCAGCAACTGAAACAAACACAGCAACAGCAAACGGATCAGCAACAACAGCAACAGCAGCAGAAGCAGCAACTAAGTCAAGTGATGCCTGGCTCCCCACAGACCTTGAGACCCCCTGGTGACAGCGAAGCTACCATACAATTCAAAGCTACACTAAATGGCCTAAGGGAGCCTCAAGAGGCGCTACTGCCTGCAAACGGGGCTCAGGACATGCGTGAAGAAGCAGCAGCGAAAGCAGCGGCATCAGCTGCTGCTGCAGCTGCCCCTATTGATGCAGGACCTGAAACTCTTGCTGCTGCACTGCCGGACGCGTGCAGCAACAGGAGCTCTTTTTCATTTGATGCGAAGCCCCACAGGAGGAATCAGTCTCCCCTGGCTTCTTCGGCCACAATAAATCTGCACACCGCTTCCTCTACAGTGTCCGACTCAGCAGCTGCAACAGCGAACAGTAGCAGCAGCAGCAGCAGCAGCAGAAGCAGCTTGGGGCTGCCTTCGTCGCTGAGGGTTCCAAGTGTCCCATTCACCTGGAAGACCTGCCGCTACCTGCTGATGCAGCTGCAGCGGCCAGCGGACACCTTTTCCATAGACGGCGAGCTGTACAGACACTGGCAGCTGTCTTTGGTGCCCACAGTGGGCGCAGCGCAGAATCGCCAGCGGCAGCAGGTAGCAAAGCCCTAAGCCTAAGAAGCAGCTAATAAGCAGCTAATAAGCAGCTAATAAGCAGCTAATAAGCAGCTAATAAGCAGCTAGTAAACAGCTAATAAGCAGCTAATGAGCAGCTAAGAAGCAGTAAATAAGCAGCAAATAAGCAGCTCAAAAACAGTAAATATGCATCTAATAGGCAGCTAATAATCAGCTAAGAGGCTGCTAAGGAGCAGCAGCTAAGAAGTAGCTAAGAAGCAGCCGCTGACTGAGCCGCGGGTGGGGCTGCTGCTGCTGCAGAGCCCGCGTGCTGCAGCAGCAGCCGCCGTCTGTGCTGCTGCTGCTCTGTGGGTGCAACTGCAGCGCATGTACAAGGGGCGCCTCAAGTCTGGCCGCGGAGTCTTCGTTAAGCAAGTGCCGGCCAGCGTGTGGAGGCAGCAGTGGCGGCAGCAGCAGCGCTTTCATGGGCAGTTTGTCTGCGACGGCGAGAACTACGTGGGAGAGGCTGCAGCTGCTGCCTTTCTGACAGGTGCTGCTCTTGCGCCTCTTTTGCAGCCCCCAGTGCTGCTTGCGGGCGTCACAGCTGCTGCTGCTGCTGCTGCTGCGGGAAGCGGCATCTGCTGCCAGTGGGAACACCAGCAACAGTTGAGACTGAACTTCGCAGTCTTCGCTTTTTGCTCCCTCTTGTGTTTTTCTTCAGAGTACCACCCGCACTGCGTTGCCCCTCTTTTGGCCGTGCTGACAGACAGCGGGTCTCTTGAGGAAAAGGGCGAGGCCCTGGAGCGGTGCTCTGAGGGATCTCCGCTGCAGCAGCAACAGCAGCAGCAGCAAGTGGGAGGCAGCAGCAGGAGAAGGCAGCGCACAGACCGCGTGGTTCTCGTCTTCCAGCTCTTCGGGCAGTCCGACTTGCTTGACTTCGTGGAGGCCAATAAACCCGTGAGTCTCACAAATGCAGCAGCAGTGGAGCAGCAAAAAGATAATTAATAACATAAAGACACTCGGTGTCCCCCAGTGTTGCAGCTGCTGCCGCTGCCGCTCAGCTTCTCTTTGTGAACTTCGCGCCAGTATGCTCTTGCTTGCTTCACAAGTGAGCACATTTGCCTTAGGCAAGGCGTATGTACTTCATGTTTGCACATAAAGTAGACTACATATAGAGTATATATAAATTATATACATGGGAGTGGGCATATTCATATACATATACATATATACATACATATACGCATATAAGTAAATATACATATATATACATATATATGTACATATATATGCTTACTTGTACCTGGGTGACGTATGCAAAGCCGTGCGTAATATTCAGCAAGGTGTGATTAGGGGTGCAGTATTGGTGGGTTTGAAGGAAGCCGATTCTTCTCTTGAATTGGCCAATTTCAAAATAAATATGCATTTTGTTGCACATTGTATTGGGAATTTTTCAATTCTTAGCTCAGGGGGTCAATGCAGACACAAAGGCATATCTGTTTCCACATAATTCGCTGCGGCGTGAAAGCAGCCAGCCTAGCTTCAGGCTTGTAATACTCTCGAGCTGCCCTCGATGCTTTGCATGCGAACTGTTTTAAGTTGCGAATAGTTATATTTAGAAATCCTCTTGCCTTGGAGATCTCTGAAAGGTGCTCGTGGAGGTGCTGCGACGTGTCTTCTTGTCACTGTGACTGCTGCTGTTGTAATTGCTGCTGCTGCTGCCGTTGCTGCTGCCGTTGCTGCCCTTCCTCCGCACCAGATGGAGCCCTGGTTCAAGAAGAAGCTGCAGCTGTCTTTGGTGCTGCTGCTGCACTCGCTGCACTCTGCGGGCGTTGCGCACCTTGACTTCACCCCAGAGAACATCCTCGTGCACTCCATGCTTGTGGGCTGCGTGGACAGCAGCAACAGCAGCAGCAGCAGCAGCAGCAGCAGCAGCAGAGGGAATTCAGAGGGCTTCCCGCTGCAGCTCCGGCTGTGCGACTTTGCGAAGGCCACTCCCCTCTTCAACTGGTCCAACCTTCGTTACCCCGCCTCGTTGCTGCCGCGCTGCAGATCCCAGGGAAGTATGTCGCTATCCAGCAGCGCTGCTTCGCAGGCAGCAGCAGCAGCAGCAGCAGCAACGAATGAAGAGCTGCCGCCCTTCGTCAGCTGCGAGCCAACCATTGCCAAGGGGCCTTACATGCCCCCTGAGGCCTGGGCAGCCATGCGCATTCTGCGTTCTCTGGGTAAGTTGCTTTTCACTTTTTAATTTAGAGGTCTACAAGTGCGCAATTTGACAAGCAAGGGAGCTGCTGTGTACAGCTGCGTTTCCCGCATCTCCTGAGCCATAAAATGCATGCAAAAGCCACCATTTTCTGTCTTTCTGTTATCAAAAACACATTTATTAGCGCGCATGCAGACCTCTGTGGGCATTCTCACGAGCAGCCAAAGCTGCTCGCGAGCTCCCCACGGCGCTACCCCTCAGGCGAAGTGGCGCTGCTGCTGAGGGCTGCAGCAGCAAAAGAACTGCTGCGCTGCTTCCCAGTGCTGCTGCGCGCAGGCATCACTTCCCCCTTCTCGCAGATCAGCGAAGCGCTGCTGCTGACAGGGAGGCCCCCACCCCCGCTGCAGCTGCGAGGGGGGGGCCTCGGGGCCCCCGGGGGCCCCTCCAAGGGCGGCGTGGATGTGTCTTTTGTTTTCTTTGACGTGCGGAAAGCAGACATTTACATGCTGGGGGTGCTTTTGTTTTATTCGTGGGCAGACGGGGCAGTGTGGGCTACTTCGGACGCGCAGCAAGACGAGCAGTGAGGGCCCCCGCAGAGCAGCACAGCTCCAAAGCCCCAAACCAGCATTTTAGCCTAGCTTCTGTGGGGCTCCACAGCCCGCAGCAGCAGCAGCAAACGCTGCTGAAGGGGCCCCTGGGAGCTGCATGCAGCTGCATGCAGCACCTGTGAGGCGTGCTCTCTTGCTGCAGATACGCGAGCCTCATTGCTGGTGATTATTGTTTTTCGGCTTTTCCGGAATGCGCTGACTGGCCCGAACCCCTGCTCGACCTCATCCGTGTCCGCTAAGCTCAACAGGCCCTCAGTGTCCTCAGCGCAGTGCTCCTGCAGCAGCAGCAGCAGCAGCAGCAGCAAGAGCGACAGCAGCAGCACACGCCTCATTGCATTGAGCACGCACTGTGCTTTGTGCTGCTGCTGCTGCAGGGCTGCATACAGGAAGACCCGGAAAGGCGGCTGCCGCTGGATCAGGTGCTGCGGCATCCGTGGTGGAGTGTTCCTGTGGACGTGTGACGGGCAAATAGCCCTCAAGCTAGCTAGCTAGCAAGCTAGCTGGCTAGCAAGCTAGATAGCTAGCTAACTAGCTAGCTAGCTAGATCGGCGCTTGTATACAGGGAAGGTGGCGGCCGCAGCACGTGCCGCGCAGCGTATGAGCTGCTGCGGGCACAACTGCTGCTGCACAGCTGCAGCACAGCATTGTGCTGCTGCGTGCGGTCACTACACTACACATTTAGGATAGCGGAGGGAGGGCTGCAGGAGAAGCGCAGGGGCCATGCTGGGCCCCTGCTGTTTGTCTTTTTGACTACAGGGCTCAAGCCAAATGTGCTGGCCCCACACTAACGAAACTGCAGGGGGAAGATGCCCCTTTTCGGCGCTGCTGCGCAAAGGGATGAGGCTGCGAGGCAACAACTAGCAGCAGACACGCGACAGCTTCTACGAATGAAAGCGAGCCCCAATAGCAGGAAAAAGCATCACAAAAATAACCAATAAAAAGTTTTCAAACAAAGACTGCGCATTAAACAACGGCGTTAGAGGCAGAGGAGCTTAGGCTGCTCTGTGGCATTCCGTTGTGAGGCGCCGGGGTGCTCGTGGCTGCTGAGCCCACGCGGCGTTTCAAGTCTTAAACATGTAAATTAATAACGAAATATGGGAAAAAATAATAAATTAACCTAATTATGGCCTCTAGAAGTGAGAACTGGGAATAGATTGGGCGTTATTTGCCGCTCGGCGCAGGTGGACGCAGGTGACCTGGCGGCGCAGGGATGCTGCATTCCCCCCCCGCCTATAACCCGGCTGGGGTTTGCTGCCCCCAAATTGAGGTTTCAGTGTTCAAATGATGAAGCAATTATAAAGTTTTGCGCATTCGATTGACAATTCGACGATTTATTCTTGTCTTTTGCTGGTGAACCCTTTTCCGCGAACAACCGCCTCCCCCAGGTGACCCTGCGAGCTGACCAGTGGACCGCTTTGTTAGCCATTGCTCTCAAGTGCAGCTGTAAGCAGAGACCAGCGGCCTCTAGCTGAATTTATTTTTAGTTTATTTCTTTTTCGAAACGCCTGACTTCGGTCTGCAACATGTCGCTTCGGAGGGCTCGAACTCTCCTCGTCTTGTTCACAGGGCTGTCGCTGCAGCGGCTCTCAACAGCAGCTCCTGGCTACGACGTCTCTCTGACGGACGGTGCAGCAGCAGACACGCCGGCTGCAAGAGATGCGGCCTCAGCAGCAGCAACTGCAGCAGCAACAGCAGCAGCAGCAGCAGCGACGGCAGCCGGAGAGGAGCAGCAACTCGCTCCAGACCTCCCCCCTGCCCCAGACGATAGACAGCCAGACAGCACTGCAACAACAGCAGAGTTTGTAACTTTGCCTCTTTCGACTTCGGACATATTAGCTGCTGCCCTTGGACCTTATGATGAACGGCTAGGGCCAGTTGTTGCAGCAGCCGCAGCAGCAGCTGCTGCTGCGGCGTTAGTTGCTGCTGCAAAAACGCAGCCACCGCAAGACTCTGCGCCCCCTGCAGCCACTTCTGCTGCACCTGCTGCACCTGCTGCTGCTCCGCCTGTCGACGTGCCCTTAGAAGACAGCAGCACGTTTGACGTGCAGCTGTACTTGTCGCCGCAGCAGCAGCAGCAGCGGCTGCAGCGCCAGCAGCGCTGGCTGCCTCCCCGCGAGCAGCAAGACGTGATGCTGCAGCAGCTGCTTCAGTACACTGCTGCACAGGCCTGGGATATCTACAGAGCTTCTCGCCTGAGCGCCTTTACTGACGCAGCCTCTTCATATTTCTTAGTTAAGCGGCAGCAGCAGCCCCAACGGCAGCAGAAGCAGCAGCAGCAGCAGGATCAGCAGACCCAGCAGCAGCAGGAGCAGCAGCCGGAACAACAGGCCCAGCAGCAGGAGCAGCAGCCGGAACCACAGCAGGAGCAGCAGCCGGAACCACAGCAGCAGCAAGACGCGCAGCAGCAGGAGCAAGGAGAGGAGCGCCCGTAGCAGCAGCGCGCAGAAGACTCAGCAGCAGCAGCAGCAGCAGCAAGCCTCGCAGCAGAGGCCCCAGCCAGGGGAGCAGAAGAAGCAACAGCAGCGCAGCAGCAGCAGCGCGACGGGCATTGAAGGCGGGCTTTCTGTTGGGCGAATTCGCAGCATTTATGCCGCTTAAACGCCACAAATAAATTAATAAATTAATTAATTAAATTAATTAATTAATTAAAATAAATCCCCTTGGCTTAAAAACATTTTTGTCCTTTTGACAGCAGCGCCTCTTGAGAGGCGCTTGGTTTGACTTGAACACAGCGACGCTCAGATGCGTCTAATTTGTCTATCGGCTGTTGCTGCTGCTGCTGCTGTTGCTGTTGCTGCTGCAGCTGCTGTCGCTGCTGTTGCTGTTGCTGCTGCTGCTGAAGCTACGGCTTCCGTCAAGGTAGAACTGCACTGTTTGAAGCCTTCTGCCTCTTAGCTTGAGCACTAGGAACGAGCACAACTGCTGCTGCTGCTGCTGCTGCTGCTGCCAGTGCGGCTACCGGCGGAAACGGCGCAGCACAACGCACCAGCTGCTGCAGCAGCAGCAGCCGCCAGCCATTGTCACTTCGACTTCGCGCGGCCGAGGTGTACATACACCTGAAAGCCGGCGCAGGCGCCGAGGTGTACATACACCTGAGTCGGCGCAGCCAAAAACTCAAAATTTGTCTTTTCTTTTTCTTCCAGAGTACTTCGAGTCTGGCCGAACTTTCTTTCCCTGCATCAGCCAGCAGCAAACGCAGCACCCAAACGTCGGCGCTGCAGCAAGTGCGGCTGCAGCAGCAGCTGAACAAGCAGCTGCAGCAGCAGCAGCAGCAGCAGCAGCGGGCGTAGGCTGCGAGCTCCCTTGTCTTCGCTCTTGCTGCTAAGCGCGGTAGCCGCAGCAACAGCGGGTTGTGCAACAGCAGCAGAAGTAGCAGCAGCAACAGAATCGAAAACAGCAGCAGAATCAGTAGCAGCAGCAGAGTAAGAAGCAGCAGCAGGATGGGAAGCGGCGGCAGAATCGGAAGAAGCAGACGCAGATGCAACAACAGAGGCAGAGTCAAAAGAAGTAGCAGCAGCAAGGCGCGCAGCAGCAGCATCAGCAGAGAGACCCAGCAGCAGCAGCAGCAGCAGCAGGAACAAAAAGACTGGCAGCAGCAGCAGCACTTCTGGTGGATCCAAACCTTCACGCTTTGTTTCTCTTTCTTCTTGGCGATCCATTCCTTCTTAGAAATTTGTTTCTTCGCTCTCCGCCCAGATACCAGAGGCCGTCTGATAAGTACCACCAAAACCCTAAACCCTAAACCCTAAACCCTAAACCCTAAACCTTGCAGTCTGGCGTCGAAGCGCGGAGCCTCCGCTTCAGGCGCCAGCCGTTAGCTCTCAACCCTCTGGGGAAAATCACAGCTGGATCCAAAACCCAAGCCCCATACCCTAAACAATAAGCCCCAAACCCTAAACCCTAAACCCTAAACCCTAAACCCTAAACCCTAAACCCTCGGGTTCTCACTCTCTTCCTTCGTTGATAATCGCAGAAGTGCCCAGGGCTTTCGGCAGCTGCTGCAGCTTCCGCGCGTGGCCTCCTGGCAGCCACAAACATAAGAAGTACCTGCGCAGAAACAGCAGCAGCAGCAGCAGCAGCAGCTGAAGCGGCAGCAGCAGACGCAGCAGCAACGGTAGCAGCAGAGGCGGCGCAGCAACAGGCAGCATCAGCTGACGTTCACGCTTCCGCAAATGCAGCAGCAGCAGCAGAAACGGAAAGGCAGCAGCAGCTGCAGCCGCAACGTGTGAAGCACCCAGGACACATATCCACTGCAGCAGCAGCAGCAGCAGCAGCATTAGCAGCAGCAGCTCACTTTTTGGCTCTGGTTGAATTGGGAAAGTCAACTACAAGGCCACCCTCGAAGCCGCTGCGCAGAGCAGCAGAAGTCAGGCTTTCGAGCTGCTCCGCGCTGTCTGGGTAAAACTGTAAGGCCTGCAGCAGCAGCAGCAGCAGCAGCAGCAGCCGCAGCAACCGCACCATCCGCCATAGAAGCAGCCACAGCAGCAGCAGCAGCAGCAACACGGCAGCAGATTGCACTCCTCTCTAGAAGATAGCCCCACAGTCCCAAAAGTGAGGCAAAACGCAGAAGCGCAGCCCGGGTGTACGTACACCTCAGCCACAGCCCCACGCTGCTGCAGGTGTACGTACACCTCATTCACTAAACAAATTTTACTTCTCGTGTTTTCTACTTCGGTGCCAATCGAAGCAAAATTAAAAATAAAAAACGAGTTGCTGCGAGCGGCTCCGCAGCTGCAGCCGCCCTCAACTCGCGGCCTCCAAACCCTAAACCCTAAACCCTAAACCCTAAACCCTAGCTAGTAAAACCGGGGGCAGCGAGGCTGCGGGGCCACCGCTGGGGTGTACTTACTGCTCGAGCTCCGGGCTTCAGCGCTCTCGCGAGATGTTCAAAGAAGCAAGTTTGGCGTCTGTAGGAAGAAGCAGCGTGTGCGGGCCTGCGCTGCCGCTGCTGCTGCTGCTGCTGCTGCAGCAGCAGCAGCTGCTGGTCCGAGGCCTCATCCTCGTCCATGTCCTCTTCCTCACCCCCGCCGCTGCTCCCCCCCGCTGCTTCCGCTCCCGCTGCTGCTCCCGCTGCTGCTGCTGCTGCTGCTGCTGCTGTGTTTTCGGGTGTACGTACAGCGTCGGCTATATCCGACTTAATGTCTGAACAGAGCCACTGAATGGCGCTGATAGAAATGGCCCCGTCAAATGTGCCTGGCCTGAAGTAGAAGGCTGCAAGCCCAACGCGCACAAACCCTAAACCCTAAACCCTAAACCCTAAACCCTAAACCCTAAACCCTAGAGCTTCACGTATACTCTAATTCTTGGGCGGCTCACACGCCCAGGCTTGCGCCTGAGCTCGATGCCGTGTACAGCAGCCTGAATGCAGATCTTGGCTGTAAGCCTTAGGGTTTAGGGTTTAGGGTTTAGGGTTTGGGGTTTACGTTTTCCCAAGTCCGCGAGCAGAGCATCTGCAGCTTCCAGGTTCTCCAACTCTCTGGCTTCCTCTGCAGCCACAGCAGCAGCAGCGCAGCTGCGTCGCTTTTGCTGCTGCTGCTGCTGCTGCTGCTGCTGCTGTGTGTCCCTAGGCTTGATCTGCTGCGTCAACTCCGATTCAAACTAATGCTGCTAATGCTGCTGCTGCGCGTTTAAGTCTTAGCTGCTGCTGCTCTCCGTTTGCTGCTGCAGCAGCCTCACTCCTATTTGCTGCAGAGCCTACACTAAGTGGTGTTGCTCAGCAAAAGCAGCAGCAACTCAGGCCACCCGGCCACCCGGTTAGCAGCCATGAGCAGCAGCAGCAGCAGCAGCAGCAGCAGCAACAGTGCTGCAAGCTGCAGCACTAGCAGCGGCGGCAGCAGCAGAATAAGCAGCCAGAGCAACCACAGCCGAGCTGACTGCGGCAGCAGCAGCAGCAGCAGCCCTGATACCCACAGCTGCATCCGAGGCAGCAGCACAGCCGCAGCCGCAGCAGCACAGCAGCAGCAGCACAGCAGCAGCACGTGTCGTCGTCGTCGTCGTCGATGGATCGTACACAGAACTCTACAGTTCAGGTACTACGAAATGGCCTTTCTCAGAAACAGCAGAGCCGCTCATGCCGCAGCCAAATCCCAGGTCTAAGACAAGGCAGCTCTGCAGCAGCAGCAGCAGCAAACGCAGCAGCAGCAGCAAGTGCAACAGCAGCAGACGCACAAGAAACAGCAACAGCCAACGCGGCAGCAGCTGCAGCAGTAGCAGCAGCAGCAGCAGCTCATGCTCCACAATGCCAGCAGAAAACGCAGCCGCAACAACAGCAGCAGCAGCAGCAGCAAAAGTAGCAGCAGCTGCGAGTGTCGGCAAAGCAGCAGCAGCAAAAACAGCAGCTCCAGGTACAGCAGCAGCAGCAGCAGCAAGCTGACGAACAGTAGCAGCAGGAGGCATATAGCTGCCGCAGGAGTAGCAACAGCTGCAGGAGCAGCAGCTGCAGTTCTAGAAGCAGCAGAAACAGGTGCACATACAGCAGCAGCAGCAGCAGCAACAGGTGCACATACAGCAGCAGCAGCAGCAACAACAGGTGCACAAACAGCAGCAGCAGCAGCAGAAAGAGGTGCACGCATAGCAGCAGCAGCAGCCACAGGTGTACGCCCATCAGCAGCAGCAGCAGAAAGCCCATCAGTGGCAGGAGCAGGTGTAAATGAAGCAGCAGCAAGGTGCAGCAGCAGCAACAGCAGCAGCAGCAGACACAGCAGCAGCAGCAGCAGCATACTTCGTCCTCCGGCAGCAGCAGCATCTCCAGAGCCCTTTCTGCCAGCTGCCGCTGCACTGCATGCATGCGGGAGCTGCGGGCGTAGCGCTGCGTCTCTTCTTCTCCATAATACTACAAAACAAAAGCAAATTAAAAAATAAAAATAAAAATAAAAATAAAAATAAAAAATAAAAATAAATTCAATTAAATGAGCAGCAAATATCCAACTCACTGAACGGCGCAGACGCGCAGCAGCAGGGGGCAGCAGCAAGCATGAGCTGAGCGCAGCAACTTGCGAAGAAACCCCAAAAAAGGGTTTAGGGTTTAGGGTTTAGGGTTTGGCTCACAACGTCCGCGGGGAGAAGGTGCTCCGGCCGACTCATGGCTGCAGCCGCTAGCAAAGTGCAGCAGCAGCAGCAGCAGCAGGAACAGCAGCAGCAGCAACTACTGCAGCAGCAGCAACTGCAGCAGCAGCAACTGCAGCAGCAGCTTTTCTTCTCCGCAGGAGCTGCTCTCCAGGCCCGTCTTCTTCTCTTTCTCGCTGCTGCTGCTTCTTTTGAATATTATTTATTTATTTTTTCTGAACTTTTCATCATTTGTAATTATTTTTAATTATTTGCAATTAATTAATTTATTTATTTATTTATTTGCTGCTTTGTTTCTTCCTTTTTGCTTCTCTCGGGCTTCCTCGGCTCGCAGGTCTTGGCTCTCTCCTCTTCAAAGCAGCAGCGCAGCACTGCTGGAAAAAATAACAGAAGGCTTTGCGAGGGTTTAGGGTTTAGGGTTTAGGGTTTAGGGTTTGGGTTTGGGGCTCCGAAGGCTGGGCAAAAGACGAGGGCAGCAGCAGCTCCAGCTGCAGCAGCAGAGCCTGGCAGTTTACGCGCTGCGGCATAAAGAAAAAAAAGGCTAGATTTGCAGTTTTAATGCTGTGCTGCTGCTGCTGCTGCTGCACGAGCTGCAGCTGCTGCTGCTGCTGCTGTGGGCCCCCGGGCCTCGCAGCCCCACGGCAGCATCGACAGGGGCCCCCCAGGGGCCCCCCGCAGCCCTGGTCGTACGAAATGCCATTACTTGGAGTGAAATTTTGCAAAATATTGAAAAATTGAGAAATATAAATCAAAAAATTCCAAATAAGAGTCAATAAAACCCAAAAAGAAGACTCAAGGCGCCCCCCAGGGGCTCCCAGGGGCCCCGAGGCGCTCGGCGTTCACATTTGGGTCATTTCAAATAATTTGAGCAGCTCACAAATAATTTATTTGGTCTAAAAGGGTCATTTAAATTCAGAAAAGACGCCAGAGTTGCAGATGAAAGCTGGCAGCAGCAGCAGCAGTGAAAGCACCAGCAGCAGCAACTGCAGCGGCAGCAGCAACTGCAGCAGCAGCAGCAGCAGCAGGTGTTTTGACACGGCTACAGGCTCTCATGTGTCCTTGAAAGGCTCACAACTGCAGCTGCTGCCCTCTTACGGCGGTCACATGCACTGAATAGGCAGCTGCTGCTGTTGCTGCTGCTGCTGCCGCTGCTGCTGCTGCTGCTGCTGCCAGAGGAGAGAAGGCCAAATGCGACACTTTGGAGAAGTCTGCTGCCACATAGGAGCTGCTCAGCGGGCTGCGGCAGCAGCACCAGCGGCACGCTGCCAATCAGCAAGTACTGCTGCTGCTGCTGCTGCTGCTGCTGCTGCTGGTGCTGCTGTCCCCTGGTGCCGCTGGAGCTCACGTCGCTTGGCTTCTCTGTCTGCTGCTGCTGCAACCCCCGTGGCACCTGACCCTCCTAGGACCCGACTCCCCAGGGACTTCATCATTAACGCAGTGCAGTCTGCTGCAGCTTGAGGAGCAGAAGCAGCAGCAGCAGCAGCAGCAGCAGGGCCAGCAGAAGCAGCAGAAGCAGCAGGAGCATCGGCAGCAGCAGCAGCATCTCGATCCTTCAGAGTCTGCTGCTGCGCTGTGTGCAGCACAGATCGCCTTGTCTCTTTGTCTGGAGCTCTCCATAATATTTGCCGCTGATCTGCAGCGCATGCTGCAGCAGCCGCAGCAGCAGCAGCAGCAGCTCGCAAGCAGCAGCAGCAGCAGCAGCAGCAGCAGCGACGCTGCTTCAAGTGGGCCCCACAAAGGCCAAAGACGCAAAGCTTTGGGGGCCTTGATGGGCCCTGATGAGATGCCTCGTGCTGCGCTGCACTGCGCAGTCCTGTTCCACCCCTTCACCAGCAGCAGCAGCAAGGGCAGCAGCAGCAGCAGCAGCAGCAGCAGCGGCAGCACCGGCTTCGCAGTTTCGGATCCTTTGAAGGGAGCTTGCCAGGCAGCCCTGCTGCTGCAGTCTCTGTGGGCTCACCTGCTGCTGCGCATGCAGCCCCAGTTCAACGCCAAGTAAGCAGCAGTGGCAGCAGCAGCAGCTGCTGCTGCAGCAGCAGCGGCAGCAGCAGCTGAAAGGGACAGCATGAGCTCAAGTGTGCTGGGGGCCCCTCTGGGGGGCCCCCCTGACCCTAAACGACACCCAATAGGGACCAGAAAGACAGGGCTTAGCGGAGGCAGCAGCTGCACTGTTGCTTCTGCTGCTGCTGCTTCTGCTCTTGCTGCTACTGCTGCTGCTGCTGCTGCTGCTAGCAGTGGCAGCAGCAGCTGAAAGGGGCAGCATGAGCTCAAGTGTGCTGGGGGCCCCTCTGGGGGGCCCCCCTGACCCTAAACGACACCCAATAGGGGCCAGAAAGGCAGGGCTTAGCGGAGGCAGCAGCTGCACTGTTGCTTCTGCTGCTGCTGCTTCTGCTCTTGCTGCTACTGCTGCTGCTGCTGCTGCTGCTGCTACTGCTGCTGTGCTTTAGAGGTGCCGCACTTGCTGCTACGGCGCTTGGATACGGTGCTGTGCCACCTCCAGCGTGCGTAATGGTACGTTTGTGAGAGGCTTAGTAGTGGCTTTCTTGCTGCTGCTGCTGCTGCTGCTGCTGCTGCCATTATTTGCAGCAGCTGCTGCTGTTGCTATCATTTGCGGCGTTTGCTGCTGCTGCTTGGCGCCGGTGTAAAGCAGCACAGCTGCAGCAAGTCGGCGGCGCCTTCTGCTTCCGAAGCTGCTGTGTCTGTGTCTGCACGCATGCATCTCTTCGTCTTCAGCTTCACTGCTGCTGCTGCTGCTGCAGTTGCTGCTGCTGCTGCTGTTGCTGCTGGTGACTTCTCTTGAGTTGGGTGCTGCTGCCACTGCATTTGCGTCCCTGGCTGTGGGGCTGCCTAGCAGCACATGGCTGCCTCTCTTGCTGCTGCATTTGCTGCGCTTCAAAATCCGCTGCTGCCTTCAATTCTGCTGCTGCTGCTGCTGCTGCTGCTGCTGCTGCTGC